TTGACATAGTCGTTTCCACCACAGTATTTACATGGAGAAGATAAGCCCCGCCCCCTCTCCAGCACGTTCTGTTTGAATGACAGGAGTAAACAGCTGACAGCCGCTGTGAAACTCCAGCGGTTAGAGCGATGAGAATGTCCGTTCGGCACCTCATGACGCATCTACTGAGTACCGGGCGGCTGTATATATATATATGGATGTATAATAAGAACGGCGGGAGAGTGTTGAGTACTGGCACGGTGCATGAGTACCGGAGTACCGCCAGCATGCCGGTACTGAGCAAGAAGTGCCGGTACTCCATGGGTCAGAACCAGAAGTGCCGGTACTGCGTACCGGTGAGTACCGGCCCAATTCCAGCACTGGTTTTAGCACCGAAAAAATATCACCGAATGTCAGAACAGGCTTACGTTGGTAATCTAACGTGTTGTTGTGATGACGTAATAAAGACGCGGCGACCATGCTCGCGGCTGGCTCACAGGGGGGGGGGGAACATTGACCTTTGTCATCGAGATTGCCCTGAGCCTTTAACAAATCGTATTAAATAATCTGATGACAGACTGTAAACAGAATAGCTGACATTTGAACAAACTAAATAACTCAGTTACCTCTAATCATTAACCCATGTTTGTATAATGTAGTTAACTCCGTGTGTTGCTGCTAGCATACATAACACCTGACGTGGAAACGTTACTCTTGGATGGGGCTACAGAGCTGCTAGAAAGACGGTCGAACCCGGTACATTCCTCCGTCTGCATGCGGTGCACTTTTGCTAAATGTTTAGACAAATTGCTCGTGCTTCAATCAATCAATCAATCAATGTTTATTTATATAGCCCAATATCACAAATGTTACATTTGTCTCAGTGGACTTTACAGTTTGTACAAAATATCAGTATGACAATACGTGCTTACATGCTAAACTCTTATTGCACTTATGGTAACAAGTATTCTCCACATCGAGACGGGTAAAGTTTAACCACACCTCGGAGCGCGTTCTCTCCGCCATCTCCGCAGTGTGCTCCGCTGCATGTAGCAGCTGCGTGTGTGTAAACTGCCCCGCCCCCTCGCACACAGACGGGGGAGAGAGATCTCGTCTGATCGAAAATACATCATAGACGCATTTGTTGTCTTTGCATATTAGAAACGAGTTGGCGACACTAAGACTGCGATATAATGTTTTTAGCAATAATACATGACATATATAAATGTACTGTATGCATTCAAAAGTGCTGAATAAATGTTTTATGGACCCATAATAGTGATTATTATTTAAGTTAAGTTTTGCCATAATCATGTCTATTTCCATAATCAGGTAGCTGAACAACATTGGTAAAAAATGTATACATTATATATATATATATATTTCTATTAATCATTTTCGGCCTTTCGGCATTCGGTTTTCGGCCAACTGTTTCCTATTTTCGGTATCGGTTTCGGCCAAGAATTTCCCATTCGGTGCACCCCTACATTCAATCCTTTGGACCTGTTTATAATAGTATCTAAGTGGAACAGGTGAAATCAAGCTATATTGAAAACATTGTGCCTTCAATCATCTTGTGCATAAACAAAGTGTTTACTGTTGAGGATTAAGGTGCATCATGATAGCTAGATCTGATGATAGCTACAGGCAAGCTAAATGTTGACAGGAAACATGAAACTGATACTTAAAGGGCCCGTGTCATGGCCATTTCTACTGATCATAATTCCATTGTTGAGGTATACTAAAATACATTTATACTGTGCAATTTTCCAAACTCACATTGGTTTCTCATACAGCATCTCTGTAAAGTATGTGTATTCACTCTCTGTCCTAAACGGCTTGTTGGAGCTCGCCCCCCCCCCCCTCCCTGTGAGCCCAGTGTGCTCTGATTGGTCGGCATGTTGCGACACTGCTCAATTATCTGGCTTACTGGTGTGGTTTTCTGGTTGGCGATACAGCGCGACAGCGCGAAACTCACCCTGAGCACACACAAACACTCACAGCCGAAGTAAAAACAATAAGTGTGGCTTGGTATTGAGTAAGAAAAAGGTTTATAAACGCTGTGAGCATGGGTCTGCGGAGAGCATTTCTCCGCGATCCCAACTCGTCTATTACCAACCAGGGAGCTCTATGCAAGTCAAGACTCCCTGTTAGTTGAAAATGTACGCTAAAGGTCCTGGTGTGTGAGGAGCTCCGCGGATTGGTCCATTTTGGTTTCCGGAAGAAACAAATGGAAAAAGAGAAATCTCCAACGAGGCGTTCTGGGGCAGCATAGACGGGTCTTTTCTGTGTGAGTTTTACTCGCTACAGGGTGTACTTTGAGGGTTTTTGACTCTGCAGACCGTTTACATGCATACAAAGCTACATAACACAAGGGAACAGGTAATAACCAGAAAAGCATGACATGGGCCCTTTAACATGAAACATATATCTTAAAACCTGCTCATTAAAATCGTTTTATCATCCTCCCCAGTTGTTATGTTGCTAAAAGTCCACAATGGTGTAATTGGCGGTCATATCTGGCATGTTAGTTCCTGTCATAACCATAAAGAAAGAAGCAGCCTTAATGACTACATGTACCTGCTAGTGTGTTTTCCATGATGAAAGAGTATTTGTATGATTTCTTTTTTCTCTTAACAATCAGCAATCAAGGTGGTATAGGATCAAGCACGTTGTGCTGCTTTTGACTCTTCACTGATGGGGTTAGTCAACCATGGCTAAGTAGATACATCTTGTAAAACTGGTTGTGATTTTGTTAATCTCACCATTATTTATTTCAAAATGCAGATATTTTTCTGACACCTCTGTGTCAGTATATGTTTCCAATACTGACTTTGACATTAGATTAGAAGATGAAAGAATAGTTTATTAGCTAGATGTACAGAGGATTAATACACAAAAGTATTTCCCGTGTCAAGATGCTTGCTACATTTCAGATGACACGTGAGATATAGAGCAGGTTGCTTACGGTTACACTGATGTGAATTATAATGACTCAAAATGAACCCATGAGGCTCGTAATGTGTGTGTCTGCACAGCAAGACTCTAGTAAGCAATGTTCCTATTTTGCAGATTTGCACAATTGAATTACATTTTAGCTGCCTACAAATGCATCACGGTTTTGTTTTGGTGTCTCTGGTGTAGATGTTTTTTGCTAAGAGTTATCTCTATATTGTTAAAAGGTTCTCTAGCCTTTATCTTTTCGTCTCTTGTGAACTGTATTTCTGAAGTAAAGTGAGTTGATGGGAATAGGAAGGACATCACACTTAACTTAGACATGTCTAAAAGTCATTTCATGTAGACATTTGCCTGTATGTTAGTCAACACACTGCTGACGATCACTCCTTCCCCGTGATCCCGCTCTCACAATGCTGCGCCTTTTACAGCCCACACTTTTATGGCCATTATGTTATTGCACTTCCATTTATTGCAGACTAATTGGATGATGTGTGCTTGGTACCGTCTTGTTTGTCCTGCAAATTAGCAGCAGTTCTTAAAGACAGCTTGCGTGTGTTGTTTTGTCATTTAGCTTTGGGTTATTGTGTGTGTACTGAGTGTGGGTTTGCCCTCTCAAGGGACACATATACCAGTTGTTCTGGAAGACTGGGACATAGAGTACAGAGGGTGTGGGAGATTATCTCTGATTTAATGGAAAAAACACTCCTTATCTTAATGTTCTTATTATGAATGCAGACCAACTCAGATTTACTTTTAATGCTGCTATTGGTGATGTTGCACACAAGTAGGTTGAATTCCCAGTCAAGTGCGGTGGAGAGTTCAAAAGTTCAAATCTCTCATCTCTCTCTATCAGCTTTGGAGATTTGTCCAGAATAAAATGAGTCATGTCTTTCCGTAACGCATAGTGTTGACATGGCCTTGGGAACAAATCTTTAACTGGAAGGCCACAGTGCAGCTGAGACTGGACCAGTGTTACAATGTTAGTGTATTGCACTTACTGTATACGAATGAGTTTGAACCACTCCCTGAAGGTCCTCTGGATGTGTTTTGTGTAGTTAGTCATTGCAACGGTACTTTTGTGTAAAACAAAGCAAAAAACTCAGTTTCATTTCCTGCTCCCCTACTTGTGAGACCACAAGAAGAGGAAACGGTAGGTTTCTGCACAAACTGAAGACGTTTTTTTCTGACTGATCTTGCAATCATCCATTTGTGATGCAGCCTCAGTGATTGACCTGGAAGGAATGTGGTTTATTGTTAGTGGGTTGTGTTCAGGAAATGCAGCAATGTCACGCTTCTTGAGGAAGCTGAGCCCACCTGCCTCTCTTTCCATCATCTACACAAAGTGTGTTGATTTGTACAGAACGTCCATCCTGCACCCTGGCAAAAGACTGATTACCATCGATCCGATGATTACATTCCAGAGTTTAAGTAACAGTGATACTTTGATAGCAATGGAAACGGAGCACATTTCACTGCTAGCTTTTTGTAACACTACTTTGTCTGTTCTTTTTGTCCCACCTGTTCTCTTCTTCTCGTACACTGCCTCCACAAGGATGTTACATCATATCAATAAAACAAACAAAATAATGAATGATGTCTAAATGAAGCCATGCACGTGGGAACGTTTCCTACGAATCGCACGGCAGGTGCTGATTTGGGTGAACTACACAAATCAACTGTTGCATTTGTTTTGTTAAGTTATTATGTTTTTTTAAACAAAAATAATCATTGATTTACTTTTCATTTAATCATTTTTTCAGTTATCAATTAGTGGGTTTTTCACACTTGTGTTGTTGTACCCAAAGCAGCACATTTGTGACAGCACATTCAGTCATTTCCCTCCATGCAGAATATAATGAGAAGCAAAACCAAACCAACAGCTCTGTGTTATGTAATTATTTGCTTTGTTGAAATGAAGGCCACTAGCAGTCTCATTTCCAGTTATTAAAGAGAAATGTTTATGATTTTGATATGACAGTAATAAACATGGTGTAATGGAGTTTTGCAATATTTGTACTTTTTATAATTAAGGTCTTATCCGTTTCAAACATTGTGTCTTTCAGTTCGGTGTATGACCTGAAGACATGCCAGAAAATTGCAGTGAAGAAGTTGTCCAGACCCTTCCAGTCCATCATCCACGCAAAGAGAACCTACAGAGAGCTGCGGCTGCTCAAACACATGAAGCACGAGAATGTAAGTGCCCTGCAACACACCCACCCTTTACCTCCATCACCCTGACTTAAACCTCTGGCCAGGGCCTGACTGCTCTGTGGATATGCATTGTTCTGTAGATAAGCTCTTAAGCAAGGATTGCATATGTGTGCACACAAGGTTTGCATGGTGAGTTCTAACGTGCAGAAGCAAGGCACTATTACCACTGCTGTCTTTATCTGTGTTTATTTGTAGCTTACAACGATTCCCGGAGCTCATTTAGATCTGCCCTTAGGATTGTGGCTATATATCCAACGTGACATAGGTGTTGAGTGATCCCAAAGCTGGGAAACACCTTGAATGGCTCAACATGTTAAACAGTTTCTGCAAGGTGGTGTCGAAATATAGGTGTAAAATAGATAATTGAGCTATCAGAAAGGTTCCAGTTTATGTTATAATTGACTTCTTTTTACATTTGATGCTTCTATTGAGGTTTTCAAATGGAAGTTAAATTATCTCTATTATATTTTATGATGCCATCACCCTAAAATAAATCCTCACTTTGAATATTGAGGATGTATTTATGTAATGTATGGTTCTGTTGGATTGCTGCTAGACCGACTGTTGCGTGTGTTTCATTATGTGAGGAACGTTTTAGTTAGAAAGTAGTTCTAAGCAGCCACCATTGTAATCTGTATAATATATACAATATTAACATCAAATAAAAGGGTTGCCCAATCTTCAGAAACACTTGGTTTAAACAGGATGAATAGACATGGGAAATTAAATGTTGCCCAGCATTTGAATGTTGATGTAGAATTGAATGGTGCTTTGAACTCTCCTGTACAGCACTTGTGTACACATGGTATACTATACATACATATATGGCATGCATTTGGCTAAGTCCCTCCTGTACATGCATTCATCAATAAACAGACATCCACTCTGTGAACTATAGAGCAGAGGCGGATGTGCCACCTGACGCCTCTCCCCTCCTCCAGCTGACTCTTCTGCAAACGCGCCACTACAACAGGTGTTAAAAAGTATAGGCGGATATATGAAAGAGCAACAACTTGTTAAGAAGCGTAAAGTTGTTCCTTGTGTTAGTCTAACATGTGAAGGCATAAACACACACATGGTCACACTGGCCCTAAGCAAGGGGGTCTTAGGAAGGTCCTGTTGGAAGAGACCTGCATGTCAGAGTGTGTTGTGTTGCACTGCTTTGTGGGGGACGAGTCACCAAACAGGTTTACAGTAACATCACACTCGCTATGCTGTCTGTTCCTACAATCTCTTATTGTTGCAGCTGATGCCATTTTACTTGAATACCCCTCCTGATTTGGTTGTCTGTGCAGGTAGGATACAGTGCATGCAGACACTTGCCCACATACGAAACACAAACGCAGCTCCTACTTTCTTTATGCTACATTTCTGACCAAATATTGTGTATCCTCTTGTGTTACATAACAGCAGTGGTTATAATGTATCAGGTGATGGACTCCTGTGTGTGGCTGTGTGGGAGGAAATCCACTGCTGAACGGTGTGTTTGAGTGTGTGAGTAAGACTGGTAATTTATGTTAAAGCTTTGAGTCTTTGTCGGGGGGGGGTGAAATGGGAATTTGCATTGTAAAGAGTTGACTCAATAGTTTGCTGTTTGCCATTGCACATCTTCCGGCGCAAACTGAAAACTCATCTCTTTCGACTCCACTTCGAGCGATAGATTTATTAACAAAGCACTTATATACTAATAAAGGACTGGCTTATCTAAAGCCAGTTGAGTAGCACTTGAAATGTTTGGCTCTATGAAACCTGATGTACTTATATGATTCTGTTTTCTTCAAGGTTGTGTCTTCCTGGTCGAATGCACTTATTGTAAGTCGCTTTGGATAAAAGCGTCAGCTAAATGCAATGTAATGTAATAGGTAAATAGCTTGTTATGAGAGCTCAGTTCCACTGTGGCTTTATCCAGTTTGACATGACACACATAGAGGAAAAAAGGAAACTGCAGCTGTAAGAAGTATTGAAAGACTCAGCAGCAGCCATTAAAGAGCAACATACAGCAGATCACAAGCTGAAATGAAAGCCGTTATTTGACATTGCTCCTGCATATGAAACATTCTCCTGAATCTTGTCTTATTTTACTACCAGTACAGCTTGAAAACTGTTGTTAGGCAGAATGGGATTTAGTGTTGCATTGTGCGAAGTACTGTTAAAATACCTCAGTGTATTTATTCGGAAAAAAACATGGGGTTTACTCGGATTATTTAGGATTATGCAGAATCAATGCCTTTACCATGGGCCAAATACACGTCTTTTATAATATGTCAATATGAAATAAAATCATTTTTAATCTGAGGGTGGTGGTCCAGACAGCTTATTTATACGGTTATATTGCTGTTTGATATTATGACCATGTTGATGCCAGGTTCTGTTTCATCAAAACAGGGACGATTGCATAAAGCTGTGCTTTTTGTTCTTAAATCATCAAAGCATTTTAATACCTACCTATGCTTTACACAGAGTGGATTCTGGTTCTGCTCACGCTGTTGCCAGGAGACTCCCCGGGTTTCAGTTTTGGAATGGCTGTGTGGACCAATCAGCTGTTTGTTGTGGCATCAGCCCACCAATCAGCTGTGTCTGTGTGCCCTGTGTGGGAGGGCTGCTCCTGTGTTTCTACAATACCTACCATCCTCAGCCTCTCTCCAGGGGGCGGGGGCAGGGTGGGCACTGGGGGCTGCTCTCTGCCAGTGTGCTACCATGCACAGAACATGCATGAATGTTTGCATATGTGTGTACTGTAGACACAACACACACACACACACACAACACACACACACACACACGATTATCCTCTGATACGTTTCCTGTCTTTGTTCCCTTTCTCTTATTTGTAACTGTTGATTCCTAAAAACAAGTTTGTTACACACACAGTATTCAAATGTAGTTCTATTATTACATTTGCTTTTACATAATCATTGTGGTTTGCCTGTCATGCTGTCAAAACCCACTTATCAGTTATGACAAAAAGATCTAGCAAATGGCATTTCACCAAATAAAACTAATTATGCCACGATTTCAAAAACTGTTGCAATGTTTTCTAATAAAAACAAATACAACATACTCAGACTTAAAAACTATTACAAAACACTTGTTGTGGTGGTGTTGTTTTACAGTTAGACGCACTAATTTTGTGCCAAGTGTCTTAAATGTAGTTTTTTTTCCTTCACACTTAGACACATCATATAACACCTGTGTCTGTTCTGTCAGTGTGATGCACAAACTTGAGCAGAGAGGGTTCTCTGCTTCCTCTGAACTCATATCTATAGTGGTTGTTATTTACTCCATTTATGTGAAATTATTTGGTAACCAAAACAGATTGCGAAGATAACCTAGTGTACGTCACCGTGTAAAAAAGCTAGCATGAGTCCTTGAGACTTGAGTAACAAGGCAAGACGTGTCTGCTTGTTTGACTATATTAAAAAACATTTTAGATATGCAGAATAATAACAGAATAATTTCAAGGTTGAGTTGTCTAACTTTACTAAGATGGTAAAAATGTCACACAGTTTTTGATAGGCACGCATGCTGATAAGGTAATGTTTTTGATCAAACACAAAAAAATGTGCTTTTTTCTTTATTAAAAATCTCTGTCTGATATATTTTGTGAATGTTTTCTGACCTTTGATCTCTCTTTTGTCTTCAGGTGATCGGTCTATTAGATGTTTCACTCCAGCAACAAGCTTAGAGGAGTTCAATGATGTGTAAGTGACACTTCCTCTCACCCCTTCACTGCTGTTTTTTTATTGTCTCTGCGTCTCTTTTCTCTTAAGCTCTCTTCAGTTTTGTTTCATACTCACACAATGCAACCCTTCATATCAGCAGATGATTGCAAGATAAACACAACAGCAAAGTTAGGAACGCATCATATCACTGCATCTAATAACATAATGTAAATCCAGCATGTGGCAGGTTTCACCAAGGTGATTGTATGGCGAACTTGTGCACAATGCACATCACAGCTAGTCTCCATGGTAACAGCCATCTGGCAATGTCTGGGGGTATTGTGTGTGTGCGAGTGTGTATGTGCACAGAATACTCAATCAGAGTCCTTGAATTCTCAGTGTGCTATGGCGTCATCAGCATGTTGCACGTTTGTGGAAATGTAAGATGACGTTAATGAAGTTAGAAAATTATTTTTCATTCATTTCAATCTTTATTTCGAACAGATTTAAAAAATAAAAATATATATATGAAAAACAGAATACCGTATTGTTAAAATACAGTATTTATCAATATTCATAATCATATTTATATATTCAACACACATTTTTTCATAATAATTTATGTTTTACATTGAACCAGATCAGTAAACTTCAGTGTGTGTGTGACTTCAAGAATAATGAATTAGTGTGTTCAAGATATCCAACATTATTGATTATTCTTATAGCCCTTTTTTGTGCATAACGACTGTAGGTTGGTTTTGTAAGTGTTTCCCCAAATTTCCACACAGTAACTCAGATATGGAAATATGAGTGTATTGTACAGGGTATATAATGATTTGTAGTCCAGAATGTGTCTTGCTTTCCCCAATATTGCGATGGCAGTTTGGCTTTTACATGATTGATATGAGGTTTCCAGCTCATTTTGTGGTCTAAAACCACACCCAGGAACTTATTTACATATACTCCTTCTATGTTTATGTTGTCTAGTATTAATTGCACCTGTGGATTTGTTTTATGTTTTCCAAATAGCATAATCTTTGTTTTGCTTATATTTAATGATCATTTGTTCTTATCAAACAAATGTTTTTACTTTCAATTCAATTCAATTCAAAACCTTTATTTATCCAGGTAAAATCCCATTGAGATCAATGATCTCTTTTTCAAGGGAGACCTGCAGCAGTAGGTTCCACAAGAAGACATAAACAACAGAACAACAAAAGGACATCATACAGCAAAATGTACAGGGATTACAATTTACATATTTAACCACAATGTACAGGTACCAACAGCATCTGATTTTGTAGCATCCAACCGAGCTTTAAAAACATGTAGTGGTACTAGCTTGGTAATTTTAATTCTTTTTGCAGACTGTTCCATGTTAGTGGAGCTGCACGTCTAAAAGCTTTCACTTTAATCATTTCTGCTGTTATTACCTCCATTAGCTGTTTCAAATTGTCACCAGAACAAAGAATATTAGTATCATCTGCAAATAAAATACATTTCAATATATTTGATACTCTGCAAATATCGTTGATGTATATGATGAACAGCTTTGGACCCAACACAGACCCCTGAGGTACTCCACAAGTTATGTTACAATGTGACACTTCTCTTCAACAGAATAATAATCAGATGACCTTTATTAGTCCCACAGGGGAAATGTACATTGTTACAGCAAAAGTTAAGAGACAAAACTAATTAAGAGGCATGCATTCAAATATTAAAAGATCGAAATTACACAAATGTGAAAAGTAACAAAGACAGAAATAATTGTGCAATACAGATTGAGCAGATGTGACATTCAGAAACTTCACATATACTATTGTATTATATTTGGTCTCTTATGGCTTATCTTAGCTGTAAAATAAACATTTCACTATCAATAAAAGGTAAGTGAAACAATCAAAATGTTCCCGGTAACAATCTTTATTATCAGTTCCCCTTCTTTCTTTCTTAACATGTTTGGAGAATGCTTGAACCACTGGCTATCTTTCAAATTGGAAAGTTAAAAGAATAGTTTGTGATTGGTAAATGAAGTCATTATTGCAGATAGTAAAAACATTTTTTTTCAAATTCTTAAAGAATTTAAGAAAGCTGCAGAAGATAACAACATAGGTTTCAGATGACCAATATAGCCATGCAGATCTTTGGAGACCACCTCTCATCATCTGAACTGTATGATTTGCAGATACTTGGTGACCCACCTAATGGGTGCAGACCTTAACAACATCGTCAAGTGTCAAAAGCTGACCGATGACCACGTCCAGTTCCTCATCTACCAGATTCTCCGAGGCTTAAAGGTCAGTGAAGCTCCCAGAGAAACAGAAGAATGTATCTAGAAACTGGTGCTGTTCAACATGTTTATCAGTCGGCTGTCTTCCTAGGCTGATCTGCAATGTTCTGAAGTTAGGCTACTAACTTATTTCTTTGTCAGTAATTTGAAAATACATAAAATAATTACTTCTATTTTGGTTGAGTGGCTGTAAAAACATAATTGAAATTCAGTAAGAAATGTTTCTCTAAATCTAACAGCCAAATTAATGAGAATCGGTCTATTTAAAGTTTTTCTCTAACCTCTTGCTGTTATTGTGCCTGATATTAAGCTCTCTGAATACTTAATCTGGAACCCAAATTAAAGTAACCAAGTAGAAGGTATCTGGCATTGATGATTTTATCAATAAATGCAGTCTTTTTTACTTTACGCCGCTCTGCAATATGTGTAAATATACATTTGTGGACTGGCATATATAACAAACGGTTCTATTATTTAAGAGACATTACTTTTTGGTGTAAGATTCAAGATTCCAAGGTTTTAATATGCACATAAGCTACAGTGTAGAAATGGATCTGAAAATCTTATGACCCGAGCTCCTCCAACGATGCAACATATATAATAAATACAAATAAAAAATTGTGCAAGAAGTACACGTAAATAGAATATGATATGTACAAGAACAGAATGTACATTTCATATTGTACAGTAGATGAAATTAAATTTGGTTTATTACGGTGATAACTATTTAGATAGACAAGTAAACACACACATACCATGTATACATCACTTCAGGGGACATTACATTGACTTACATGCATTTCCTGGAGACTTATCCTAACCTTAACCATAACCAACACATGCCTAACCATGAACCTTACCCTTACCCTAACCCTAAACATAACCAAGTCTTCACCCTAAAATTAATGATTCCCCTCATGGGGACCTCCAATTTGTCAGGCGAGTCCCCACACGTGACTGTGTAAACAGATTTAGGTCCCCACAAGTATAGTAATGCTAGGCCACACACACACACACACACACACACACACACACACACACACACACACACACACACACACACACAATAAATAAACTGACAGTATAAAAATAGCAGATTAAATACACTTTGGGCTGTGTTCCAATTGAGACTGCAATATAAGTTAAATCACCATTATTTTTCCTCCCCACAGTACATCCATTCTGCAGATATTATCCACAGGGTAAGTAATGACTGTTTATTTTCCTTTAAACCACTTCAGTTTTAAAGGTGGTGGATGTTGTTGTTCAGAGAATTGATGAGTTAACCACCTGAAGACGTCATCAGCTACGTCAACAGAGACAGGGAAAGGCTCCGTTACTTTTGCATCCATACTTAATTTTATTTTCTTGCTCCATTTTCTCCTTAGGACTTGAAGCCTAGTAATCTGGCTGTGAATGAAGACTGTGAGCTCAAGGTAAAATATGGTGTAGTTCAAATGTCATCTTATAAGATTCAGAGGATCTAGTGTCGAGATTAAATGGTGCAGCCCATTTCCTCACTCTCTCTACCTCTCAAACCAAAACAAATATTTTCCCCCTCAGATCCTGGACTTTGGTTTGGCACGGCACACAGATGATGAGATGACCGGCTACGTAGCCACCCGGTGGTACCGAGCCCCAGAGATCATGCTCAACTGGATGCACTACAATATGACAGGTACACACACTGATTACATCTGAATGTTTCAGGCTGAAACTGAATACAACGGTAAATAGTTTGCGATTTCACACAATTGAAATACCTCACTGATATATGTGTGTTGAACAGTTTCGGTAATTCAGCAATGCATTTTTCAAAAGAGCTCAACAATATACAACTTTTTGTGAAATCCATGTAAGAGTCCTATAGGCATTATGCTTTTCAAAGCTTAAACTAATTAAGTTAATGTAATGTAACTTATACTTGACCTGAAGCAGACAAATTGTATCATATTCTATTTACAATGCTGAATGTTTTCCCTCTTTACATGTAATAGTGGATATCTGGTCGGTGGGCTGCATCATGGCTGAACTACTCACTGGACAGACGCTCTTCCCTGGCACAGACCGTATCCTTCCAGCACTGGCATTGCCATGCAAAATTAAAATGGCTCCTTGTAGTCAACCTGTGCTGTAGGTCTTTGGTAGATCTGGAAGAGGTAGTAGATGATGCATACTTCATAATACTATATTCAAGGGTCTTCTCACACAAGCTGTTGCTTTGTTGCAAGACCACAGTGATTCAAGTACACACACATGTACAAGTGCATGCGAGAGTAGTGAGGGCAGCGTGTGTTAGAATATGTGCATGCATGTGATAGTAGTTAAGAGCCCCTGCAGTCTATGACTCAACGCTGCCCACTGTTGTCTGCACTGCTTCTGTAAGATGCAGTACACCTTAATGTTTCCCTCCCACAGAGCTCTCATTCAGCAGCAACAGAATATAACAATGTCCAACCACACAGAAAGACACTGTGTAATCAGGACTCACACACACACACACACACACACACACACACACACATACATACATATACACATACACATACACACACACACACACACACACACACACTGTGATTGTGATTCCTGCCCTAAATGATCAAACACACCATTCCTTCACTCAGTGCTCCGTAGGTGTTTAAATGTGTGCCCTCAGACCAAAACTAACTCTGGTGGTGGAGCCACCCACCTACGAGCCAAAGTTAAAAAAAACACTCTTTATGGACATTTTCATTTTACCTGTATCAGCGAATTAGTGAAAAGTGGTATTTTGAATCTAGAGGCTACAGACAAAGCTAAATGAAATCTTGCATAATATAAACTCATGCACATTTTAAGGTTCAGTGCGCAGGAGCTCGTTCCAAAGGGTAAGGGAACATCTAAATGTGTAGATTAAACATGTTAAGGGTTAAATTGCATTTATATTTTCTATTTGGCATAATTCGATATGCAGAAACTGGTAATAATCTGCAGATCAATGATTAAAAATGAACATTAGTTGCATTAAATATTAAATAATATGTTGTTCACCTATGACAGCTCTTTCCCCCTCTCTCCTTATCCAACACCCACCTTCCTGTTTTCCTTCATGCGTGTGATAGACATTGCTCAGTTGAAACTTATAATGATGCTCGTTGGAACCCCAGGGCCCGAGCTGTTGATGAAAAGCTCTTCGGAGTCTGTGAGTGTAAAGTACCATCCCGCCCCTCCCGCCTGTGTTTGTGTCGTCTTGGCAAGAGACAGACAGTTACTCTACTTTGTACTGCTACCACTACTTCTCTGCTGCACCTGTTTCGCCCTGAAATTGTGTGGCTTTATTTGCACTTAGCTTAAGGCTTTGATTCCCATTTTTGTTTCTAGCACGTACCATGAACACATACAATCTTCTAACCTCTCCCTATGAAAAAGTAAGAGGACTCTAGTGCAGCAATTGGCTACTGCAACCATGAATCTATTTAATAATAATACTCTTTTAAAGGTCATAGTCAGGCTATGGTTGTCATTCATCCAGGGGTGGAGAAAGTATTCACATCCTTTACTTGCGTACAAGTCCTGCATTGAGAATGGTACAATTATTACAATATAATCATGACAATGTACTTTAACATACATCAAAGTTCTTCATATGTTTGGGTGTAAAAACCCTGATCTGTAATGTAACTAGTAGTTTCAGATTTATAACAATGCAGTAAAGTAAAATGTACAATATTTCCCTTTGATATGAAGTGGGGTTGAAGTTTAAAGTGGCTCAAAAGGAAATACTCAGTACAATTACTCAAGGTACTTGGAATTTAAGTGTGTACATCGAAGCTAAACAAACTATCCTCCTCTTCGTACAGCTACATCCTCACCCTGCGTGTGTGCCCCCCCCCCCCCCCTCCCTTACACAAACCCCCATGCTCTTTGAAATGCTGACCTCCATGTTACGATGCCCCTTGACTCGGAAGCTTTAGATATAAACCAGCTGCAGCAGATAATGCGCCTGACGGGGACGCCCCCAGCCTCCCTCATAGGCAGGATGCCCAGCCATGAGGTGAGACACGAGCCCTCCACCAACACCCCCCTCCCCTGAGCTGGATTCTGGGCCGAGCCACAGTTTGATAACGCATACCTTTTAGATTAGATGTGTCAATTTTCTTACAGTGTGCATCTGCATGTTAGCCCTCTGTTCTCACTTCCTCCCTGTTTCCTCTCTGACTCACCGTGCTTCTCTCAGGCTATCTGTACTGATGGTAATGCGTATTGATTCTGAAATTAGAGCCTAATGTTTCTGTAATGATGTGGCTTGTGTTAAAGTGCTTGCATCATGCCGTAATTGGAGATTGTAAGGCAATAATAGTTTCTGCACCAGGCATTACATCAATGTTACGTCTGTCAAAAATATTTTACATTTTTAGGCTGCAGCTCTAGCGAAGTGCCACTGTGTTATCTTTTATTGTTTTGCTATTTTGTTGTTCTTTTCTCATAGGCGAGGAACTACATTAACTCACTTCCTCAAATGCCTAAGAGGAACTTTGCTGATGTGTTTATCGGTGCCAACCCTCTTGGTAAGTCCCCTTTCAGCACCGAGCTATACTACTCCTGGCTCACTGAGTCCCTCTAGTGTTATTAGAAAGTCACTGTTTTTCTTGGTCAGGACTATCCTCAATTATTATAAGTTTTGCCCAATTCAAATAAATCGCTATAAAATATACTCACGACAGCAATGAAATAAAAATCCTGTTCTATTCATTACAGGAAAAAGGTAATGATCAATATTTTTGTTTGCCTTTCACATACTCATCAAGTTTTTCTTGTTGCTGTGTTTAAGCTGTGGACTTACTGGAGAAAATGCTGGTGCTAGACACAGACAAACGGATCACAGCCTCCGAGGCTCTAGCCCACCCGTACTTCACCCAGTACCACGACCCGGACGACGAGCCAGAAGCAGAGCCTTATGACCAGAGCTTTGAAAGTCGTGAGCTGGAGATTGAGGAATGGAAGAGTAAGTTGGCACATCGTGGATACCTGGGCAATAACCTGAACTAGCTAGGAGGAAAAGGCATATATGTTAATTGTTTATTAATAGATGACCTTAACAGCACCTCTTTTTGTCTCTCAGGGTTAACCTACGAGGAGGTAGTCAGTTTTGAGCCGCCGTCATTCGATGGAGACGAGATGGAATCCTGAGTTGGAGGAAGAGGAGGCACCTTTTACTTCCGTATTTTGTTTTCCAAGAAACACTCTTTAAGGACTATGAGTCTGTGATGACTATCCACCACTTTCTTACACTTATATACACACACACACACACACACACACACACACACACACACCACACACACACACACACACACACACACACACCCCCATGACATTCAAGTGCCTGCCGTCATTAATCTCCGGGGGAAGTTGTTTTATCAGGGATACAACTCCACATCCTGTTCCTTCTGTCCCCTACTTTGCTGTTTTTGTTACTCGCTGAGGCAGACTTTAAATTATCCTTATATTTTTATTGAGTTTTTACCTTCTTTATTGTTAATATTGATCCCCTCTTTGATTCAGAAAACTACAAACAATGTCAGTAACTCCTTTTATGCATTTTATAAAACAAATGACCACTCGGCAGTAATTAATATTGTAGGAAATAAGTTTGATAGAAACCTTTCATACTGCAGTGTGTCTAAAGTTGATCTTTCCCCCACACATTTAATTAAAACAATATTTCTATCATATTAGAGAATTGTGTAAATATGTCAAACAGTATTTGTACAGAAGTAATTTAGACAATAGTTAACCTATTTCTATAATAGACATAATATCTGAGTCACACTTAGCTGAACCCTTTGAAAGTAGGATGTTTATTACTAGAGTTTAGTCCAAAATGGCATATTAAAATATTCAGTGTGTTATTTAATACAAGCATTTATAGGATAGGCTAAAATATAAAATATTTACCTCTACACATTCTACACTTTTGCATGAAAAAGCCGGATTTGGCTAGTTAGTTTTTTTTTGGTGTGTTTTTTCCCACCACAACACCAACTGACAATGTACTTTAATCATATTGCATTTATAAAACACAGTACTATTAATGTTAATTGAATGTTCGGGGCACCAGTTCGCCCTGTATTTATGATATTTTGTTATGTTGTTTGTATATCGATGTAAAAGAGAATATTATTTGTCAGATTTTAAGGTTCTTTTATTATTTATGGAAAGCTTACTGTTTCAGAAACCAAATGTATCGTCAATGATCTCAAATGTCTTTTAAGCCGTGGTGACTGCCGTTACAGCTTGTCAGGAACATTGTGAGTACAATGTTGCAGATATTCTAGCAGTTCTCGAACATGTATTTATCATATTGTGTTCACTGAGGCACTGCCCTCCAAAGCTATCTTATTTTGAAAAGAAATTCAATATAAAACCTAAAAGAAAAAATATGTATTCCATGATTTTGTATTGTCGCCAAAACCACTAAACAGTATACTCATTGTCCTGAAGTGTACTACAAAAATTGACAAAATCTTATTTCCATGTGAACTATTTTAGGGATCCTTGTGAGATACACACTATATCCACAGTAACTCTGGCCAATGTCTACTAAACACCAGTGTCTTCACAATTTAATTTGTAACTGCTTGTTTTCTTGTAGATTTCTCCTAATATTATTTTATTCTTTGTGTGTTAAATCAAGATGTGATGTTATCCTGTGATTCTTGTAATATTGATTGTTTTTGTAGCAATGCTAGAATTGTATTTGTCATTCATTTGAATAATTTAGCAAGGCACATGTTTGTAAGACAGAGTGTACGTTTACTCACTGGATGCTGAAGGGCAATGCTGAAGCCTCGTTCTTTGTAGTATTAAAACTAGATAGGATATTTATCTTGTTCCATATTCAATTATCAGTAGTTAATTTGGTAAATGGTTTCTTTCTTTGCCTGAGATGTGTTCATATCTTTTTATTACTATATGCTTCATCACATGTACCAAGACAGCACGCCACCTGTAAATACCACCATTAGAAAATAAAGGCTACTATTTTTCAAACTTGTAACATTGTACAGTATATTGTGTTTTTTGGTGGTCAGTATTCCACCACTGGGCGGCAGCACAGCTCAATAACTGCATAACTTCTGCCAATGTGTAATATGACAACACATGTAGGGAAGGATGGTGGGGAAATACAGAGTTGAAGTTTTTTTTTAAAACTTTAAAATACAGAATTAAACATTATACACAGAAGTATGGCTACTTGGATGCATGCATACACACAGTCAAAATCCCCGTCCTCAATTTACTAATGCAACAGTAACTGCATGTGTTTGTGATTTACAGCTAGTGAAAGGGTGAATAAATGATTAAGGAAACTGATTAGTAGTAGAGATTCTGTCCAAACTCTATGATTTACATAACTCAAGTTCTGAGTAGCTCTGAGACATTATATTGAGACTCCTTCACAATGTAGTGCTCCCATTGACTGTAAAATATTCCTGGTTAGTTCAAATGATATATTCATTTGTAATTTAGACAAATGTGTGTAACAATGCACGACTATGTGACTTTTGGAAGAAATAACACATTTTTCTTATCTGGCCTTACTCTGGTAAGAGCCTATTGTGGCTGTTGTTTGCCAACTTTATTTGTTCTGCTTCTGCGTAACTAACATTATTGAGTCAGTTCATTGACTTACCTTACTAGCTATGGGTCAAATTTCAGTACTAAATCTTGCATTGCAAATAAAAGAAAAACATGTCCCTCCCTGTACTGGCCATCACACTGAATCCCTAAACTTGATTGCATTTAAGATTACACCTAATTTGAGTGTTTAAAGTACAAAAAACAACTAATTTAAAATGCATCACGTCTTTACTGTGCTGGCAATAAAAATATATATATATGAGAAAACTTTCTATATTGATGTGGTAAATGTTTAAATGTATCACCGAAGGATACCATATATACACCATAAGATGTAAACAGATATTGACAGTCTGTTTCTTTACACTCCGCCCCCTACAGCTCATCTCTGTTAGGTCGTTCGTTTACGCGCACTTTAGTTTCGGCATTTCCAACAGTTCGTGAACGCAGCGTATGTCCTGACTGGTTAGCAGCATGGAAAGAAAAGGTAACGTTGATGTAATTTACTTCAAAATGCTATTTACACATATTATTCAAAACACACACGCATGACTTCATTACATTTGTATGCGAAATTAATAATCATAATAATTTGTACAACTGTAAGAAGCTACGTAACAGTTTAAATGAAGAGTGAAAGTGTACCATGCGTTCTGCTCTGTGTATGTTACCAGTATGCTAGCTCTACCGTAAGCTATCACTCTAACGTTAGCTTCTGTTATATGTACGCCAAAACAGTTATCAAGTCATAGTAAAAATAAGCCACCCCTAACACTATTCATACGTTTACCAGGGCTCTTCGTAATAATTGGCAAGACCTGTGTGATATTCGCAGCGAAAAGGCACTAATTTGACTGTTAGCTGCTAACTAAAAATGCCTGGCAACACACCGCCAAGGCCGTTAAACGTTAGCTTGTTGAGAGGCGTTCACTTCAGCTAAGTAGCCTGCTAGCTACTCTGATGTGCTAATGCAACCCGTAACTGCGACTTGTTTTCACACACCTGCAGCCCGACGGGTAATCTCTTAAAAATAGCCAGAATAAATAAGAAAAACGGCAAGGTAACGTTATGGGTCTATGTTTAAAACCGATTTCTCTGTACTTTTTAGTACTTGCAATGCAAGCGAGGAAGAAGAGGACAAAGCCAAGGAAGCCTGGCAAAAAGTGAGTAGAAAACCCTGTTTGTATTCATATCACATGTTACTCTTTGGTACGGAATTACTAAGGAGTATTTTTTAGTTTATTATTATTTTATTCCTGTTTTGTTTAGTTTGTTTCTAAGTGTTCCTTATGAATCACAAAGCCATGTGTTACTTTGGTTCCCTGAGAAGGGGGACATAGTTTTGTCTTTATTTTTTATTTAAAAAAGTCTGTTTGTTTTGTGAAGCACTTTGAGTTACCTTTTGTGTATGAAAAGTACTATATAAATAAAGTTAGCTCTTTTTGCTTTAAACTTGGCAACTTTCAATAAGTAACTAAAATAAACATCCATTGGTTAAGTACTTTACATTGTTTTTTTAATTTTTAATTGGAGCATTCAATGTCAGTTATTGAACAATGTGTTACTGCTGTTAACACTTTTTAACAAAGAAGCATTAAGGAATGAGCAGCTATTGATGAGTTTGTATGTATCTGTGGCAGGTGCACCTGCTCACTGAGAAATTGTTATCAATGTAGTTTTTTTACATCTATTCAGTTTTGTTTGTGTAAGTATTGTTTATGTTACATTAAGCTATATTTACAATTAGAAAGTTATACAAAATTAGGAAAAAAGCCACGATTATACATTTCTAAATTAAGCAAAAATGTGGTATACAAATCACGAAAATGTCTTCTATTTGTTAACAAACACGTTTTATCCCGCGCTTCATTTTCATAGTATATACATTTCTTATTTCTAGCCATTGTTCTGTAGTGTTCTACCCATTTTTTGTTAAATAGCTATCTCCCCCTTTTTTCATATATATCTTGCAAACAGAAAATCAATCGCTGTCTCAATGATGATTTGAGCCACATTAATAATAATAATACATTACATTTATAAAGCACTTTTCCTGGTGCTCAAAGCGCTTACAAGCAAGTAAAACAAAAATAACAACAAAAGTAAAACGTGCTAAGCTAGGTGGAATAAGGGCAAGGGGTTAGTTGATTAGGAGTTGAAGGCAAGAGTGAAAAGGTGAGTTTTGAGGGATTGTTTGAATGATGTGAGAGTGTTGTCGGATCTGACGTGGCTGGGGAGGGAGTTCCAGAGTGTGGGGGAGGCTGCTGCGAAGGCCCTGTCACCCCAGGTCCGGAGCTTTGTCCTAATGGGCTGCAGTAGGTTAGCTTCAGCAGACCTCAGCGACGGGTGGGGGGTGTGTCGTTGGATGAGGTCACAGAGGTAGGGGGGGGCGGGGGCAAGGTTGTTGAGGGCTTTGAAAGTGAAAAGTAATATTTTAAAGTCAATGCAGGTGTTTGATGGGGAGCCAGTGGAGGTCATGGAGGATAGGGGTGATGTGGTCTGAGCAAGTGGGCAGCTGAGTTTTGGACATATTGAAGTTTTTTTAGTATGAATGCAGGTGATCCAAAAAGTATGCTGTTGCAGTAATCCACATATCCACAGAACATAGTCAAACAGGCCCGACACAGTTTAGGTGAGCCAGCCACAATTTCATAATGAACTGAAAGCTTCACATAACCCCTCCCCCGGACATCACCGCTTCCCAGAGCTGTGACTGGGTGGCAAGGGGTCTGGGGCAACGTTGGCAACCCACCTGACCGGTCTTGAAAAATGGCCCCTGTCACGTGTACAATGTTTTGTGCTTTATGCCATTCATACCATTCATAACTAGGCTACAATCAATTTTGTTATGAATAAATGGTTTACTTGAGCACAAAGGTCCAGCCTCTTAATACAAAGAAACAACGACTTAGGGACCATCAAGATATGATTTTGACTCATCAAAATTGTACAGGGCCGCCCAACAGACTTATTGAGTTATGTGTCGGAAAATAGAGATTTTGATGAAAACAGGGGTTAGCTTAAGGGTCCTTACTTTTCTCTGTGAGCTGTGTCACATTCACTGATGGTGCTGATAACTGGGACAAATCATCAATTACTTACATTCTGAGTTGACATTGTTTTTGGACACAAGCATGCGACTGCCTCTTTCCCTTTAAGCAGTATCTCTGCCCTTTTCCCCTCATAACTGTGGTGCTGTGCAAGTGATCCCCGTTGAAAATGCATAATTTCTGTCAATAACCATCAAGCAAGGGACGAGCATCCAAGCATAAATCAACTCCTCCCACTCCTTTGCACCCATTATGCTCTTTCCCTCCCGCTCTCTTGTGTCAGCCGCTCTGCTGTGGACACCGTCCTGCTGAGAGGATGCAGCAGCCACTGTTCAGCGGTAGAGCCAGGGTAGGGAAGAGCAGTGTGCCATTCGCCTTTGCCAAGTTTAGTTTAGTAGCGTAAAATAGCTTTAGCCAAGTGTCCTCTGTGTCATGTGGCTCCTGGATTGGATATTCTCCATCAATACAGCTGTGGTGAAGCTAGCCAGCGGTCTCACATGCAAGTGAGTAGTGCAATACCCCTCATGGTTGTATTTGTTTTGAGAGCTAGGCTTCGGACTTTGCTTGTGTCTGTAATGCTTATTGAATCTGTGGTGATGTCAGCAGTAGTGTTCCGTGTGTGTGTGCACCAGATGCCAGTGTACACAGTTTGGCTGACTTATCGATGGAGTGATCCATTTTTCATTAAGGAGCAGATGCTGACTGTTGCAGCTCTATGAGGTACCTGACTACCTGCTCATGTGTTTTGCTAAGTGTGTGTGTGCAAGAGCACAGGACTGAAGATGTCCATGGTGGATGTGTGCTGCCAGCTTTTTTTAAAGATCCCACTCAATGTTTATTTCACATTATTTCTGCATTACTATATATATATTTTTTTTCCATCACTTTCGACATGAAGTGGCTTTAACTTTCAGTGCCTCAGGTATAATGTTAGGACTGCATGTGCACTCAGGAAAATAAACAGGAGTATCCAGCATTGCAGAGTATGTACAAGCACAAAGGTACTCTCTTATATTTCCCTTTTTATATCAGCCTCCATAGCTGCAGTTTATTACATAACTCATCTTCAGCCTACTACAGCTCTGTTCCCTCTATTCTCTCTATCCTCCCATATCCACCCTGCAGGTTAACCACTTCGCTTTTCCCCCCATCCTGTCAGTGGGAACAATATTTAAATATAGGTTTGTTTGTTGATATATCAAGACACTTCCCCCCCAAATAGCTCCTGTGGGGATTGCCCACAGTATTGAGTATGTACGTCGCTTTGGATAAAAGCGTCTAACAAGTGACATGTAATGTAATATGCAGATGTTGGGTTTCCAGACAGAGATAAGTTTTTTGCACACTTAGAAAGACTGCTGTGGTT